CTCCTTCCTTTAACCACCCCCGGCCACGAGGCTGGGCTACTGCTTTACCGCGCACTTGGGCTCACCTGCTCCCCCAGGAGGGAAGGCGCACTACAGGGGAACAGCACGAGGCTGCAGGATTCAGCGCGTCACAGTTTTAGGCAGAGTCGTGTGTCAGTGCTCTCTCACTCCCCCCCCCCCCGTAATAGTCTAGTGAGGTGAGCAGCCCCATTTCAAAAGATGAAGAAACTCAGAGCAACCAGTTCGTGAACCTGGCACTGTTCCATAAGCCTAACCCCTGGGCCTGGCCTTCCTTGGGAAGAGCCTCTCAGGCTGGCCTCCTCCCATTGTGTGCCCTTGAGACAAGCTGGTTTCATCAGCAGGTCCCGCTCCTTTCCCACCTTGAACTTCCAGACCCAGAACCAGAGTAGCTGATGATGAGGAATTGACCTAAAGTGAGATGAAGCTTCTACAGGGCCAGTGGCGCCCATAGGCTCCTGGGGCCGAACAGCTTTCTCTACCCACTAGCTGAGAGGCGGGGAAACTGCAGGTGGCCCGAGGACACACTGCACATCAGAAACCTGAGTCAGTTCCTGTCTACCCAACTTTTCATCTACTCACCCATCTATCTACCCCTCCACCTACTCACCCACCTATATTTATTATCTCCCCACCCACCCACCCACCCATGTGGGTCTGCCTACTGACGTCTAGTTCCCATTCCTTTCTCCACGTGTCCTTCCATCTGCCTGCAAATATCCACCGTTATCCTTCCACCCAAACATTCACTGAGTCACAAGTTCACCTATTCACCCATCCATCAAGGCAACAAATATGCATTAAGCATCTGCTATCAAGCCCTTGAAACAACAACATATACCCTCCCTGCTCTCGTGGAACCAGTAGTCAAGGCAAGAACAGACATTTTAGTCATCACACCAAATGGATGTATATAGCACAGTCTTTAAAGGAATTGTTCTCAGTGCTTGAGAGCAAATAAGTGACCCAACCTTGTCTGGGGGGATGAGAAAGACTTCCCTTAAGATAAGATGATGGAGTTGACATCTAAGCTCAGTAGCTAAAGGGAAGACCCAAGGGAAGAACTTTCCAGAGGTGAGACATGACAAAGGCACACCTGCGAATGCGAGAAAATGGAGCTGCTGCGAGCTGAGCAAAGGGGTGCTGGTATAAGACAGGGCAGCACAAGTAGGTAGTGCCCCCCACAGGTGGGGCCGCAGCCTGGACTTGGGGTTCTGCTCTGAGAGCAACGTGCTGAAGCCACTGAGAGGATCATCGGGAAAGCATGGTGACCACCTAGTGGAGAATGCATTGAAGGGGTCAAAGACAGATGGGGAAGATCAGGGAGAAGCTTACGGGCTTCATCCAGATGACAGAAGATGGACTGACCCGGTTTGGGAGGGGTGGTGATGGAGACACGGATGGATTCAGGAGGTAAAGTCAGGTGAGTGATTTGAGACATGGGAGATGAGGGGGACAGGGAGGGAGAGGTCCACACTGACTTGGGTTTCTGCCTTGGGGAGTGGGTAGTTGACGGTGCCACTCACTAAACAGGCCACAAGGTGTGAGGATGGTGCAGGGCGCAGGGAGAGGCAGATCGCAGGTTTGAAGGAGGGCAGCCCTTCTGGCTACCAGGCTAGGGTTCTCTCTACCAGTGTGCCGCCTTCCCCACCTCCCATGCCCTTCCCAGCATCCTGGCTTGTCTCTCCTACAGAATGGTAAATGGGCTGGATCAGAAGAGATCACTGAGCCTACAGTCGTAAAGACCTGGAAAACATTTACAAAGCCCAATGTAGTAGCAGAATCTGGAATTCAGAAGACAGTCCCTCACCCAGGCGGGGACCGCGAGCTCCGCCTGAGGGCTGGAGGGTTGGGAAGAAGAATCTGAGGTTGGACCCACCTCTGGGGTCTCGTCCAGGCCAGGCTGTACGAGCCCCTCCCCTGGCAAGGACAGCAGGTCTCTGCTTTCACGGAGCCCGGCAAGGCGGCAGCACATGGAGGCAACCACAGCAGAGAGGTGCTGGGCCGCTCACCTGGTAATAGTGGAAGATGGAATCAGCCATGGGGTCCTTCCCTGGCACCGTAGAGGTCCACAGCTTCTTCATGAAGAACACTTGGTAGGTGAGCGAGGGCACAATTCCTGTGGCAGAGAGGCGGTCAGTCACCCAGAGGAGCATCCATGCCTAGCACCAGCCCCAGGGGAGGCCCTAGCTCGGCCCCCGCACCCACAGGGGCCTCACACGCAGCCCTGAGCCAGCATGAGCCCTGCTCCAGACCTCAGATGATCCCAAGACCCAGCCTCACGTTACCATCCTTTACGGGCCGTGCTTTCTTTATCCAGTCCGTCAGGTGTCGAACAAAGTCAAAGAAGAAGTCGTTCTCAGGGACACTGATGACCTAGGGACATGGCCGTTCTTGTCCACTCACCTTAATTTGAGCAATACTGAATTTTCTTACTTTCCCACCCAAGGTCTCCACGACGGCCCCTTTTCCAGAAAGACTCCTGCTCGCGGACAGAGCAGGTGTCCATGCATCAGCCACGCCCTGCCCAACTGTGCCTGCTGAGTGTCTGTTACTCCATCCAGTCATTCAGCAAAGAGCCACTGAACGCTGCCCTAGGTCCCTGGGAGAAGTCCGAGAAGGAGGCCCTGTCCCTGCCTTGGGCGTGCTCTGGTATCCATGTCCTGCTCCTCCCGCAGGTTGTAAGCTCCCCTGGAGCCCAGGACCTCACTGAGATCACTTCTGGGTCACAGTATCTGACACAGGGACAGACATGAAGTGAGGAGACGGACATGGATGCACGGGGAACTGTGGGTGAACCACAGAAGGGAGCACCTGACTGCTTGTGAGGGTCAGGGAAGCAGCTTCAGAGCTGGGCCTTTGACTCCCATGGACACAGACATGGGGGAGGGCAATGTGGCTGGAGGCAGGGGTCTGCGCTGTGGGGCCAGAGCAACCTGGATCTGAGTCCCTGCTGTGTGACCTGGGATAAGTTATGTGACCTTTCTGAGCCCAGGTTTTGTGACCTCTTTGGTGGAGATGTCAACCTCCCTTTAAGGGTTTTTTCAGAGGTGAATTGGCCTCAGCCTGGCAACTGACAGATTAGTCAATCAAATCTGGAATGTATGTGTGTGCTGGGGCAGAGTGAGGAGCCTGGTGTGTCCAGAACGCAGAATGCCACGTTGGCTCCCAAGAGGCGTGACGCCTGGCTGTGCAATGCCTCAGAGGGAAGAGATGTAGGGGCAGCTGTTCCACATAAGGGGCCATTGCAGGGATGTAGGAAGGAGATGGGCAGCCGGATGCCTCATAGGAGAGAAGAGCACCTCTTTCTTCCTCTCTCTCCCCCTCCCTCCTTCTGTGTCTGTCCCCGCCCCACAGCCCCTCGAGTTCCTAGGGCTCCAGCAAATTTCCCAACAGACAGACCAACAGCAGGCAGATAAGCAACCAATGACCCACCACCCACCTTGTCTGCAATTTTGACAAAGAGGCTGAATCCCTCCGAGGACTTGAGGAGCAGCCGGGCGGCGATGTTCTGGCAGAAGTCCTTGGCCTTAGTGCTGGACTCCACCTCGAAGGCCTGGGGGAGGCGGGGGTGGCACCTGCTTGGCTCTGGCAGGACCTCTCCCAGGGTCTCTCGTGTCCCATGTCTGTGCCTCCAACTAGAAGGAGCCCCTCCTGTGCAGGACACCTTCCCTCTGAGGGCATCCCCAGAGCTGGGCACAGCGTTGAAGATAAGGAAGTGTACAGACTGCTGTGTATAAAATATGCTACCAGGATATACTGTACAACTCAGGGAATATGGCCGATATTTTATAATAACTATAAATGGAATATAAATTTTAAAAATTATGAATTACTATGTTGTACACCTGAAACTTATATACTATATTGTACATCAACTATACCTCAGCTGAAAAATTAAAAGGAAAAAGCAATTCCCATCTGGGTCTTTCCAGGTGGTGCCCTGCCCAACCCTTCAAGTGGGACTGCCCTTGGCCTGGCTGTCCAAGCATGAGTGATGGCAGAGGCCAGGGGAGCGCAGAAGGGACGGGTAATTGGATGGAGAGAGGCTGGAGGAAGGAGAAAGCAAATTCCAGAAAGGGTCAGGAGTCAAGAGAGGGGAAGCAACCCAGACTGGGGTTGAGAGGGATGGGGAGTCTGGGGAAGTGCAGATGAGGAGGGAGTGGGATTTGGGGGTGGGGGTGCTCCATGTGACCTTCCACAAGGGACAGGAAAGTTTACGAATGTTTTTCTGTCCTTGTGACTGGAAGCCTACTATGGCATTTGAGTCTTTAGTCTCTAGACAAGTTTTTAAAAGTGCTTTTCAAACTAAAAGTTCTGAGCTTTGTCTTGTTTATCTGCATGAGATGCTGTGCTAGGATGTGGAAGAGGGTGATCAGGAGTCAACCTGACCAAATGAGTGTGACATGAAGACAAATAGGATCTTTTCCCAGGGGACCAGGATGGAGGGGACCCACAATCAGGCCAGGTGAGGGGGGGAGGAAGGGGTCTACAGGAAAGCGGGCTCAGGGTGATAGGGGAGGTGTCTGGGGCTGCAGGGTCTGTGCCCAGTAACAGAGCTGGCATGAGAGAGGTGGCATCAGCAAAGAGCTCAGGGGAGAGGGAGAAAGCACTTTTTTCCAAGGCAAGGCTCCTCAGAGAGGGAGGGAGGGATGACTGTCTCAAGGAAGCAAGAGATTGGACTGGGAACCCAAGGGCTCCTGACCCAAGAAGTCTATGGCCTCTTGACCAAGCCCTAACTCCACTGAGAGGCAGGAGGATAGGGGCAAAGGTGGGGGTGATGGGCAAGAGGCATCATGGCTGCCCCCTGTTTCCCCAAGGAAGCCTGTTCCTTCAGGGGCACCCACAGACTGTGAAGCCAGAGGCCCTCACCTCGTCCGTGTCATCAGGAAAGTACACCTTGTGGAAAATCTGGGTGGTTTTGTGCTGGATGGCCTCCACCTCCACCAGGTGTGGGGGGTACTTCCGGGACCCGTTTCTGAAAACCAGGAGTGGGGGGAATCAGGAGGCAGCAGATTCCTGGGGCAACCAGGAGTGGAGAGCAGAGGGAAGCGTGGAGACAGGCAAACCCCAGTCCTAATCCCCATTCGCCACTTCCTATGAGGTGACAGTCACTTAACCTCTAAAGCCTCCAGTTCCACATCTTAAAATGCGATAACCCACCTCATAGGGCTGGGGTGGGGGGGACCGAGTGAAGCAAAGGATACAAGTGGGCTTTGCAGGATATGGAGTGCTGCCCAGGTGCCTGCCTCCCCAACAGACTTGAAGGTATGAGAAGATACCTTTCTGAGCAACCAGACTCTCAAACTGTGTCCAGACGCTAATGGGCATGGCAGCCTTTATCTACCTGGCAGATGTGGTACCAAGATGGGTCCCAACTACTGTGCAGTCACGACCTCATCATCCGCAAGGGACTCAGCTCACAAGCCTGGTGTGGCCAGAGGCCCATCCCAGTGCCTGCCCCGCCCCCTGCCCCTCGCAGACTGCTGTACCTCAGGGCTTTCTGGAGCCGCTGCAGACAGTCGATGGCCAGCGCGCAGTGCTTACGGGACTGCAGGAAGCGCTGCACGTGGGGCAGGAGGATGTTGCTGGGCGGGAAGAGCCCTGTGCACAGCCAGAGCAGCTCCCAGCCCCTCTCCTCACTATACCTGCAGGAAGAGGAGTGGTGTCCAGCAGGGGCACCTCGGGCCAATACCCCTCAGCTCCTCACCCCCACCCGTCTGAGGACCAACACGGACCCACCTCCCTGACAGCCAGATCCAATTAGTGCTACTCAAAGTGTGGTCGGCCGACCCACGCCAGGCCACACACATACCAATCACATGGAGGTAAGGAGCTCAGGCCAGAATGAAAATCAGCTAACACTTTTTTCTTAGCAAAACTTTCCTATGAAGGAAGCAGAGTATGGTTTATAGTCTGGCAGAAGCTCTTGAACTGTCTATTATTTGAATAGCACTGAATTAGACCAGCCCCAGGGCTCCCTCAGGCACTACTGTGAGCTCCTTGGGCCTGGCAGAAGGGAAGCTTGAAGGGCTTCTAGAAGGAGGTGGCATTTGATCTAGGCATTGAAGGATGAAGAAATTCTGATATGCAAAGCTTTTCCCTGCTGTGGGCACAGCATATACAAAGGCTTGGCACTGTGAGAAGATCTGAGGTATGGTTCGATGTGGATTTGTGCAAGAGATGTAGAGAGGGACAAAGCTGGGGAGGGAGCTGGAGGTCTGGGAGTCAGGGGGGAGGGTGGGGCTTCTCTCCGGCTCTGAGATGAGCATGTGTCTGACTTCCCACTCCTGCCGTAGCCATCAGGGAGGAGGTGACACCCTCTGGGGTCCAACACCTCAGCCCATAAGAGTTTTTAGCCAGAGCTTCCGACTGACAGCCAGCTCAGCCTGACCCAGGGATAGGACCATTGCTCATGAGACGAACCTGTGGGCGGACAGCAGAGTCTGGGCTGGGGAGGGGTGTCCAGAGGTGGCTCAGGCAGGGAGCGGCGGGAAATTAGGAGGAGCTGGGGGCATTCAACTGGGAGGACAGACTCCAACAGCGGAGCCACCACCTCTTGGTTCTTGACCCTCCCTCCTTAGGGCATGAGGGGGCCTGAGGACAGCACCCTGCTCTGGGTGAGGAGAGACTGCTCCTGGGCAGAGCCAGCTGCCGCTGTGGCAGGAAATGAGCTCCCCATCACAACAGATGGAGGACCTTTAAGATTGCCCTCAGCTGTTGGTGCTGGTGGGGGGCCTGCCCCCTCACCCTCCCACCATCCCAGCTCACCTGATGTGGTTGTCTGTCAGCTGCTTCAGGATCTGCACATACACCTCGTCCTTGAGGGGCTCAGCCTTCAAGGCACCTTCAAAGATCTGGTCAGTGAGCTCGTTGACCGAGCGCACCCTCTTGGATGGGTAGTCACCCATGTACTTGAGCATAGGTGGGGAGCCGTCAAGGAAGGCCGTAGCCAACTGGGGAGCACTGGCCCGGGAGGCAGGCGGCCACACTCTTCAAACAGCATGCCTCCCCCAGTCATGTGGCCCTGGGCCTCAGGCTGCTCACCTGGGAAATGGGCATGATCTGCCCACCAGGCTCAACACGCCCACTGCCCGCCCTCTTTCTGCAACACCTCTGGCTGCCTCCTCACTGGCTATCCTGCTTCAGGCCCCAACCCCACATCCAGAGCCCTCACAGCAACCAGGATGAAATCAAATCACAAATCTAACCGTGCCACCCCCTGCCCAGTGGCTCCCTCTGGCATCAGGACCAAGCTTCTGACTCGGCCTGGGGAAACTTTTATCAGTCAGCCCACATCTTCATTCCCTGCTTGAACACTATACTCCAGCTATGCTGAGTTATTCTCTCCCCTTGGAAAGAGTCCTGCTCTGTTTTGCCTCAGGGCCTTTATACAGGCTGCTCCCTCTGTCAGGAACATTCCCCACCCATCTCCCCTTTGGCCAAAGCCTACCCAGTCTTCAGCCTAGATATCACTACCTCCAGGAAGCCCTCCCTGCGCTCCTCCAAGCCAGGTCAGCTCAATGTGCCATCAGGCCACACCACAGCACTGACCCCGATCTGCCCTTTTCAACTAAAAACACCATGAGGCCAGGGACTGGGTCTGGTCACTGCTGTGTCTCCAAGCCTGGGCCAGCAAATGGCACAATATAAATCTGTCAACCAAATGACAGGGGCGAGGAGACAATGGGTGAGGCAGCCCCCGACACACTGGAAGGTGCTGGGCACACGGATGGAGCCACCCCATCAGTACCCCTCCACATCTGCCCAGGACCCAGCTGGGCGCCTCAGAAGTGGGCGTCTAGGTGGAAGCCCAGAGGCCCTGCCCTGCCCTGAGGTCGCCCTCGGTGGCTCCTGCCTGACCCTCTGTTTCACCCACAACCCCCACGGGTGTGGATATCGATGAAGGCCATGCAGGCTTCCTGTGAGAGCTCCTCACTGCCCAGGATCTTCTTGAGCAGCGCCTGCTTGAGCGGCTCCCGCGTGTGGCTCCAGAGCCGGTCCTTGCCGCGGGCCTTGGACACCATCACGCGGCTCAGTGTGTGCTTGGGCGGCGGCCTGCGCAGCACGGGGACAGTCAGCACTGATGGCCAGTTTGGGAGACCCCAGCCCCATCCTGCCCTGTGCCGGGGGCTGAGGGTAGGAAACAGGCCCTGCTCTTCCCTGCTGCGCCATGTGACCTGGGATGAGTCTCCAGCCCTCCCCGGGCCTTACTTTCTCAGCTGGAAAATGGAGACACTAACAAGGCTGGCTGTGCCCCGGCCTGCCTTGCCCACCTCTCCTGCCTGCTTGCCCTGCTTCTCTCTGCTCGCTCTGACGTGTGCTGCCTGTAACACTCCTCCACCCGGCTCCCCTCCTGCACAGCTCAGCTCAGGCAACACCTCCTCCAGGCAGGCAGCCTCGCCTCCCTCTTCACCCCCGCCAGCATCTCCAGCAAAAGCTGGGCGCGCAGACTAACAGCTGCCTGGTTTTGTGCCTGTCTCCCCACCAGGACTGGGAGGCAGAGAGGCAGACACTGGTATGAGTCATGAGTGCCCAGGACCCCACCCGAGGTGGGCACAGTCACAGTATCTTAAATAAAGGAAGGAAAAGATGACAACACGAGAAGGGTCATCTCGATGGACTGAAACTGCCCTCTGGCTCCCTCTGCCCCAGGCCCTGCTCACAGACGGGGGCACCCCAAAGCACACACAGACCAGGGGGGAGCAGAAGCTGCAGCTCGCTGTCCTGGGCCCCCTCTGCCCTCCCCCATCACCTGAAGTAGTCATAGGAAAACTCCTCCAGCGTGTAGGGCTTGGTGCGCGCCTCAGGCTCTGCCGTTCGCAGCTGTAGGAGCCGGATAACATCCTGCCTCTGGTCGGGGGTCATGGTGACCAGGGCCTAGAGACCGAGAGACAGGCAGCTGAGGTCGGCTCTCCACCTGGGGCCCTGGGATCAACATGGTAAAGCCCAGAGCCTTCTTGACGAGGCCTGGAGGAGACTGCCTCCAGGGGGTGGACCCTGTGCCCTGCTCTGACCTGGGAGCCCCTTTCCTCCTGGGCAATCTCTGAAGTTCCCCCCACCTCCCTCATGCTGGGCTCAAGCCCGTTCCCTCGGTACCCTGTGTCTGAACCAGGGAGGGGGCAGGCAGTCAAAGCCTGGACAAGGCAGAGGACGCAGTGTGACAACTGCCTGGTGAACAGAGCCTGGCTCAGGGGCTGCCTGGAAAGCTGGGTGGCACCGAGTCCTTAGTGCTGGCTTGGGGGTGCTCCAGAGAGACCAGGGCCTCCCTTCCCAGCTGTGCCCCGGCTGCCTTTTCTGACAGTGTAAGGTGATACCCTCTCCCCCAGGCCTCTCCTCCCATCTCCTATCCCTGGGCAGTTCCTCATCTGATGCAGTTTCTAGGTCCCTTTCTGCCTGGCACAGGTTTGATAGTTGCCCCAACTTTAAGTTTGTGGTCCTGTAAGACCCCCAGATCATCTTCACAGAAGCTGCAAAGCATGAATGTATTGTAATCGCTCACTCCATTTTATCATTATAGGAAGAAGACAAAGAGGGACCAGAGGAGCCTCCTACCCATCTGCCATCCCAGGCCACCTACCACAATCTCCCGTGGTGGCATGGTGACAGTGGGCATGACATACACGCAGTCGGTGGGGAAGTCCCCATGCTGCTTGGTCCTCTCATTGATGCCATTGGCCCAGCCCGAGTTCATGACCTGCTCGCCTGTGTCATGGTCCAGGATGATGAGGTCCCCCTTGGCAAAGCTGAGGAAGCCTGACTCCTCACCCGCTGGAAGGCAGAGGTGAGTGGGGCCACGGGGTGGGGATGCAGAGAGAGGGACTGGGTTGGAACACCTTATTTGGGTTGATGACCTGTAAGCCTCTCCTCCCCTCTGAAGAATTGAGGCCCTGTCCCTCCTATCTGCTCAGCACTCACTCTGCCTCCACCTTGCCACAACCCTCCACACAGAGTCATTGGAGGGGGCCACTCCCCTGCTCAAAAGCCTTCTGTGGCTCCCCACTGCCCTAGGAGAAATCCCTCACTCCTTGACATGCTCACAAGGCCTGTCCTTCGAAGGGTCTTCCTGACTCCCTCTGCCTCACTTCTTGCCACTCCCACCTCATCTCGCCCATTCCAGCCACACCCAACCACCTGCAGTTCCCAGACACACCTGATCCCTCCAGATTCTGCTCAGTTCTCCTCTCCACCCTCAGCACTGGCCTGACACACAGACGTCCTCCCTGAGCCCCAGACTGCATGGGGGCCACTTGCCCGGGCCCCCACGGCCTCTGGGCTCCCGAGTCACTGCACTGTCACAGGGACTGTCACTCTCTGTTCCCACCCCCTCTCCCCACTGAGGGCAGGGCCGGCGGTCATTTCATCTCTTTTTCATCCTCTACCCAGGGCCTCGGAGGCCCAGGGGATGCTCAGACCATAGTTGTATTGCTGTCATCATTTGAAGTTGGTGGCTATCTGGGGAACACTGATCTGGAATCCCTGATCTTCTCTGGAGATGGTGGCTAATGATACCTATTTAAGTACCAGGTGGAGGGAGAAGGGAGAGGAAGTTTCCCTGCAGGGCACAGATTGAAGGCACAGAGTTTGGCTATTTGGTCCAGTTGGAACTGAGGGCATCCAAGGAAGAATGGGTAACAGGCACTAGCAACCTTAAATGCCAGGCCAAGCCGTGTGATTTGCCCAACACCCTGACTCCCGGTGACTGGCAGCTTGTGCCAGGAGCCACTCACCAGGGTTGGGATTGTCCTGCAGGGCCACCACATACTTAGACCTCTTCCGGAGCCCCTCCAGGAAGGTGACCACTAGGTCACGGATGTCCTCAGCGTTGCTAGAGGTGAAAGTGTACTCATCCCCCTTGATGGTGGCCAACGTGAAGCTGGGGGCTGTCAGTTTCGCTCCCCTGCAGGACCAACACGGAGAACAGGGCCCAGCCGGGGTCAGCCCTGCCCAGCCCGAGTGAGGCGCAGCACAGCCCAGGTCAGAGCAGCCCAGCGAGAGCAAGACACGGCACTCCCTGAAGGAGACCAAGGCCAGCCCAGTCAGATGTGGCCCAGCCAGAGAGAGATGGCCCAGTCAGATGTGCTCAGCCTGAGTCAGACATGGCTGGGCCAGTTACATGTGGTCCAGGGGGAGGCCTGCAGGGGGAGCTCACTTCCCCTTTTCTGTCTGATTCCCTTTAGGCCTCAGCCTAGGTACCACTTCCTCCAGGAAGCCCTCCCTGCCCTCCCACAGCCCTCAGCACACTGGTCCTTACTTTAAAATGGCTTATTCAATGTCCATCTCCCCTCTCGACTGAAGCCACGGGAGGACAAGGACCATCTGGTCACTACTGCATCCCGTGTCTGGTCAGAGCCAGACATGACCCAACCCTGGCCCACCTGGGACACAGCCCAGAGACACTCCTACCAGCCCCAGATCGGCGAGGAGGCACTGCTGGGAACCCCAGTCAATTCCAGGAACCCACCCCCACCATTGTTCCCATGTGGATTAATCGCACTTTTTAGTTTACAAATTATTGTATTTATTCCTCACCACTGTTACTGAAGGAAAGACCTTCATTTTAGGGATGAGGACATGGAGGTGAGGCCAGCTCTTTCTGTACACGCTCAACTGCCGCCAACTGTCCTCCTAATCTCCCACACCCATCTCAGAGCAACCACAAATGCGCTGCAAGGACCCCATCCACCCTACTGGGAGGAAGGTGCCCGAGGGCTCTGCACTGTGCAGCACCACCTGCTCAGCCACATGCGACCAGGAGAGGTCACTATGTGTCTCTGCACCTTGGTGATATCCTCTGTGAGGCAGAGGCTTCCCTCAAAGGCCCCATGACTGCAGGAAAGCCCCAGGAGTCCCCTCCTTCCTCCTCTGTCTGTCTGTGTCTCCACCTGTACCTCCTCACTTCACAAAGTGCTGAATCAGGACCCTGGGTTTGAGACCCATCCCTACCACTGGTCTTTGCGCGGCTTCAGACAAGTCCCTGCCCTGCACTCGAGCGGGTGGGGGAGGGGGTGTTGGACTAACCGACTGCTGGACACGGCCATGATCTCGGGGAAGGACAGCTCCAGAAGCACCTGCTCCTGCTCATCCACGAAATAGACGCCTGTCCAGTTGACGGCCACAATGACGTCGTTCCTGGGGAGGCTGGGGCCTGGGGCAGAGGCAGGCACTGAGAGGGCGCCTCCTCACTCCCGGGCCCTGCCCTTTCCGATCCTCATAGCCACCAGGGAGGCAGCCAGAGTGAGGTATACTGATGTCCATCTTGCAGATGGGGAAACTGAGGCTCAGAGAACACAACCTCCCTACAAGCCAAACCTGAGGTGTGGTGGGAAGAGAGTGCTGGATTACAGAGCTGGGTTTGAGCCCCATCCTGGCCACTGGTATCTGTGCAGCTTGGGACAAGTCCTTGGCCTGCGGTGAGGTGGGCTATGGGGAGCGATTGGACCTACCGAGCCCCAAGGTTCCCTCTGGCCTGATATTTGGTGGTCCTATGAAGCCCAGCACCGGCACAGGGCCTGGCACAGAGCAGACGCCTGGTACTGACGGGCTGAGGGTGGCTAAGTCAATGGCCTGTGCAGGTTTGTGTCGGCGGCATCCACTGTCAGCTTCAGAGTCAGCCCAGCCTGTGCTCTGGGCTGCCCTCTTCTGTATACAGTAGGTGCTTTAATGATCACAATACTCAATTGTTCAACCCAGTGTGTGGCTGGGCACCTATTATGTGCCACAGAGCCCTACTGGACTGCAGGGAGGCACAGCCCACTGAGCACACTGACCCAGAGAGACCACGCAACCCCAAAGGCAGGAGGCTGGAGTCTGGTTCCGACCATTCCCCTCCCTCCACCGACGGCCAGAGCCATAAAGGGAGGGGCTGGAGGCAGCAGAAGGGCTGACGGTACCCGAGAACTTGTAGGCTTCGTAGAACCTGGAGAAGAGCAAGGGCCACTTGAAGCGAGCATAATTGACCACATCCTCTTTGACCTTCTGGGCATCAGTTCTCCTCTGGGCATAAATCCCCTGGAGGTGGACAGATGAGGACAGGGGACAGAAGACATGGCACAAGCTCTGTCTGGAAATAAAATGTCCCTGTCCTGAAGCCAGATGTGGGCCCCAGGCTGCCACGTTCCCCTGTGCACTATGGCCTCCCTCCAGCCCATAGCCACTCCCATCACTCCATCTTCCTCCAATTCCATTGACATCAGTGAGCACTTACTAGAGAAACGTGGATCCTCTCTCAGGGAGCTCCTGATTTAGCAGAGTGACAAGAAAGCCCACAGTCCCAGCCAGCACATGTGCAAGGTGCAAAGGCAGAGATTTGGGGTTGGGGGTGTGTTTGGGGAACAGGAACATGAGTGGCTAAGGGGGAAGGAGGGTGGGGGATGCGAGCCAGAGCTGACCGAGAAGAGGGAGTTGGAAACGGACGTGTAGGAGCCAAGTGACGTGGAAAGTGAGCGAGGCCGCCCATCACTGTGAGATGGGCTTTTAGTGGACACCAACAGGCAGGCCTGGGAAGTAGGATGATGGCAGGATGGAGAAGGGTCGGAGCCTGGCTGGGCAGCAGCGGGGGTGATGCAACACTCCTGCCAAAAAACTAAAGCACCGACGTCTTATTATCTAAAAATACCCTGACGAGCTTCAGTAAGAACTGGGTGGTGTTGGAGGAGGACTGAAGGGATCAGAATGAACTCAGGGTTTTTATCATCTACGAACACAAACATAGAGAATGTCACGCATGAGTCAGCGTATCCACGGTAGCGTTTCCAGGCACTAAGCAAGGGCCTCGAGGCAGTGCCACCCAGGAGCAGTGGGTGTTCAGGCACAAGGGGCTCAGTGCCTCCAACCTAATCTCAAGTGGCTCAGAAAAAATGTGTGTGTGTGCAGACAGAGATCATCATAAAGCAAATGTGGGGCAGTGTTACAACTGGCAAGTCAGGGTGACGTGTATACTGGACACAGCAGGTCTAGTTTTTTAACTTACAATTTTTCTGTAAGCTTGAAATTATCTCAAAATAAAGTATTTTTACCCTGATGGCTCTAAAGACCATGCTAATTCACACCTGTCCACTCTACAAGAGGCCTGGCACAGGGCTCTGGGATGCGCACAGGCCAGGGCACTGCCGGCGCAGGGCAGAGACCCCTTGAGCTGGCTGAGGGCCGAGGCCACATCTGCTCTGCTCACAGCTGGGTCTCAAAGGCCTGGTGCAGTGCCCACACGTGGCAAGTGCCCAAAACAAAAGGAATTCATGAGCAGTGGCACCCAACCCAGAACCACCACAGGCCACGTGCATTATGGCAGTGAACATGCAGGAGGCCCGGGCAAGGCAGAGGAGCGGAGGTGGGGACAGAGGCTGGAGCTGTTGGCCAGCAGAATGGATGGGCTTCAACAGCTGACTGGGTGTGAGGGGTGACGGATGAGGGACAGGAGGTTGCCAAGGACGGAGAGACAGAGCAGGGGAGGGAGAGCACGCGTCTCTTCTGGAGGGCAGGGAGGGCCTGGGGGTGAGCCAGGCCTAGATGCAGAGGGATGCAGGGAGCCCTCAGTGTCAGGTGGAGCCTTGTGGGCAGCTAACCCAGGAAGGCAAAGTGTTGGGGGCGGAGTCGGGGAGACACATGGGGCTCCTAGGTTAGGGAAGAGGCCGCTGACCTTGGAGCCCTTGGCAACTTATGTGCAAATTGGTCCCGCTCTCACACAACTAGGGCCTGAGATGGGGAAGTCGTGGGGCCCCCTCCAGCAGCCAGGGTCCCTCCCAACCAAGCCACCCTGCTCTGCTCATGATTGGTCATAGGCCTGGGGCCCTAAGCAAGGGGCAGAGGGAGCCTGCACCTCAAATTCCTCAGGCAGGAAGTTGGGCCAGAGTTTTCAGGGAGAAGGAGGGAGCACTTCCTAGATGCTGCCCCAGCATGCACCAACTCCTGAGCTGCAGCTCTAGCAAGCGCAGGTGGGAGGCTGGGAATTGGGACCCTCAGGACCCACGGACCCCTGGTTTCCCTCACGAGGCCACAGAGCGGATCGGATCCATCTCTGTGTCCCTGGCGCCCAGCCCAGAGTAGAGCGCAGAAAACCCAAGTGAACCGATATCCATGGTGGAGAAAGGCTGCTGGGAGGCAGAGGTCAGGGGTGCCGTCCTGTCCCCCCAGCCCCGTGGACAGACAGATGTCAGGTGAGAGCTGTGACCCCTTTGATTTCTCGGGTCCCTGCCCCTCAGCCAGGCCACCAGAAAGCCCCTCCTTCTAGATCCCCCAGCACTCCCACCTTCTTGTGGGCAGCGATGGCCAGCTGGGCCCACTTCTCCAGCGTCCTCAGGGGCGTGATCTCACGGTCGGGGACGTAGGTGGGCACAAGGTTCAGGAGGCGCTCGAGGATCATCTCGGAGCCGTAGTCCACAAAGTACTGCTGGGAGGCCAGCTCGGCAAGGTCATCCTCCTAGGCGGGGGGAGATCCTGCTCACACGCCCTCTGGGAAGCTCTTCTGCACCACCTAAGCCCCTAGGCCCTGCCTCCTGTAGCTCGCAGAGTCCAGCCTTTGGGACCTTGTGCTTTGCCGGTCCACCAGGAGCTCCCCAAGGGCAGGGCCACACCGTTGCCTTCTCCTGGGTCCCCTCAGCACCAGCAGAGCTGGACTCTGCCCAGGGCACACGAGCTGACCCAGAGAGTCCAGCCCGCCCATCGGTCATGCTGCAGCCACTACATCCTCAGCCCAGTGAGAAGGACCTGCCCTAGAGAACAGGGGGCCTGGGTACCGCTGGAGACTATCAGAGGAGGGGAATGCATCACTGTTATGGCCTCCATCACCATCAACTACGTCATCCGGGCGCAGTCAAAGTACTGAACAACCAGTAAGCTGTACTGCAGAGGCTTCAGAAAGCCAGTGGGCACTGAGCATCCGCCCCTTTTCTGCCCGAGGCTGGTGCATGGCAGCCCCAGTGATGCCTGCCTGGGGCTCCCCAGGGCTCTGGCAGCGGCGACAACAGAGAAAGACACTTGGGCACCTTGAAGACAGTAGATGTTTTCCAACTAGTTCAAAGTATTTCAGAACTTAAGCAACTGATATGGCCGTACTAATGCATCCTGCCTGACGATCAGCTCACCAACACCAAGACCACATTATTACCATCACCACCTCCACCACTGCCACCAAACCTCCCCTTCATTTCCATCATTTCCACCATAATCACCAACAGAGCCATAAGTATCACAAAAACCAGCATCACTTCAATCAACCACATCAATCCTGTCCTCTGGAGATAAAAGGATACACATTTGCAAACTCTGGTCTAAATAAGTGGCTCTCTTACTCCTTTAGAGCAGAATTTTCTAGACTAACTCAGAACAATACAGCAAGTTCTGAAGCACACCCCCTGTGCCGGGCACCATCACTGCAGCAGTGTGGGAACGCCTCCCACGGGCAGAACGCAGGCTATTCTCCAGAGCCCTTGCTCCTGGAGGCGGTGTGAAATCCAGGAGAAGCCTAGCTAAGGCCCAGCCTCGGTCTGGCTCACCCCCGCGTTCGCAGAGCGTGAGTCACGGACAGGAACGCTCAGCCCAACTGGGAAAACAAGGTAGCTCTCACTCACCTTCTCACACCTGTACTCCCCGAACTTGACCCCGCGCACCACCTGCTGGTAGATGAGGTTGGTGGCCACGTTGTCCTCAGAGGGGTTGTGCCAGGGCGTAAAGACCTCCTTGCGGAAGAAGAGCCTCCACGGGGCGTTGCGCTCCTGGGCGCCCTGCTCCTTGGCATACTGCTCACACTGGGAGACGGCGTCCATGACGTGGTCACTGCCGCTGCCCAGGGAGGACACCTGCGGGACAGGGCTGGAGGTCACCCAGCAGAAGGGCGAGCAGGCAGGGAGAACCACAAGGAGCCATCGACTGTGCCAGCTGTTCTCGTGCCAATGGAAAACCGAGGCTGAGAGAGGGGAGGGGCGGGCCAGGCCCCCCAGGAGGCAGCCCAGCACGGGACCCCTGGGTCCCACCCGGGCTCTGAGGAGGCACAGCCACATGGGAGTTCCCACTACCTAGCGTCAGTCTTTTGTGAAACTCTGATGGACAAATGGTCACTGAAAACAGGCGGTATCTGTTGGTGAGAAAAATCCGGGCAAATGGCATTGATAACATGGTTCTATCCCTGGACCTGCTGGGGCGAGGGGTAGGGGGCACCTCTGCCGGATGTGATGATGCTGGGTGTGGAGGCAAAGTCACCCACCCCCAGGCCCGGCTCGGCAGAGAAGGCTCCAAGCCCAGTGTGCCCCAGGAGGCACACACTCCGGGTGACCAGTAACAAGTGAAAAGCTACCACAGCACCTTGATAAGGAGTTACAATCCCATTTGCAAGTGGAAAAACAGAACCAGTGAGAGCCAGTGGCTGTGTGTCCCTCCAGTCTCTGTTCTTGCTGTCACCAGCAGAAGACTGAATGCACCTGGGCACATATGACTGAGGTGAGCTCTGGGTTTCAATCTCCATGGTACCTGTGGGCCCCTCTTTAGGTGCTTAGACCTCTCCGTGGTCCTAACAGGTCAGGGCAGAGCCAGGATCACTGCTCCTTTACAGAGGAGGAAAAAGGCCCTGGAAGGTTAGCAACCTGGACCAGGAGGTGGCAGCACTGGGGTGGGAGCTCGGGAGCGGCCCAGGTGGTGTTGGGGAGGAGGCGCCCGGGGCCCACCTCACCTTATCAAACAGGGCGATGTAGAGGGAGAACCCGAAGCGGTCCTTGAGCGAGATCTTGTCCGCCAGCGCGCTGCAGAGCTCCTTGGCTGTGGTCGCCGAGTCTGTCAGCAGGGTCTTGGTGGTCCCGTCCATGAACGTCACAGGCAACATGATGGGCTTCTTGGACTTGGTGGCCTGAAAGTGACCCAGGAGGGTCTGTGGAAATCCCTTCACTTCAGAACAGCTCACTCCCTCTAGGCTCCCAGCTCCCTGTGGGGTCGAAGCCCTCGAACCCCAGCATCCTACGGGGCATTGCCTGTCCCTGGTCACAGGTGCCCAGGGAGCCCTGCTGTGTTCCCCCCTGAGCTGGGGCGCCAGAGCTGGGTGGTCGGGCTCTGCCACATGCCAGGGCTTCTGCCCTCACATCACATACCCATCACAAGACCCTGTGAAATGAGTATCCCTATTGCCATGTTGCAGATGAAGCCACTGAGCAGAGGAAACCCCCTGCCCAAGTTGCTTTGACTATGAAGCTAGTAGATGGGAGTCAATCATCACGGGGGGCTTTCCTGTTCCAGCAGGCCTGAGATTCCAGAACTTGAGGGCAGCTGCTTGAAGAACCACAGAATTCCAAAGCAGGGAAATTTTCTGGGGCACTGGCCACACACATGCATGCTGGGGTGGGGGCCACACCTGCAGCTCCAGCCAGCTGGGCGGCTGTGTCCGAGTCCCATTGACGAAGGTCCTTCTGAGCCGCTCCTCACAGTACGGGGCGTAGCCAGGTGGTCCACCGTGGATGAAGTTCCGCAGGTACTACGGACGGAGGACCAGCTGAGGAGACCCACTCCAGCCCCCCTCAGTCTGCCTGCCTGTAAGATAGTCTGGGACTTGAGACCCTTTACCTGAGTGCTCGCACCTGGACAAATGACTCCTTGCGCAAAGGACTACAAAAACTATGAGGGACTAAAAATAATTGCACGCAGGTGCGGCTGGGGTAATTATGAATAACAGGATACGAAAAGGCCACAAAAAACTACATTTGAGGTACGGAGAGCAAAAGCAGGGCACTGCGCATGACCCCTGCACGCGGCACCACCAAGGGAGGGCAGACCACCTAAGCCGCACCTCTACCCTCCCCCCATTTAAGGAAGAACCGGCCCCAACTCAGAGCACCTGTTTCTTGTTCTGGCTCCCTGGTGCTGCAGCAAGAGTCCCAGTAAAGCCTTGCCTCAATTTCTCATCTGGCCTCTATCAATTTCTATTGATTAAAGAGTCTAAGGATTGGTAACACCTGGTCCGTCAGAGCAGCCTCGTTGGGTCTCCGGTCCCCCCACCCACACTGAGAACCTGCTCTTCAAGGCAGGTCCATCCACACCCCTCTGCTTCCCAGGGCTCCCACTGCCCTCCAAATCAAGTCCACGTGCCTCAGGTTGGCACAGGCCACCTGTCTGGCCTCAGCCATGCCCTCTGCATCAGCCCACAATGCCATACCCCACTTTGCCCAGCATAACTGCTCCTCTCCCTCCAGGGACCACCTGACCCCTCTTCACAGGGCTGACCAGCTGGGTTGGTCCTGCCATCACCTGCCTTGCCTGTGTGTCCCCAGCACCCAGAGCCGGGCACTAAGGAGCAGTTAAGAAAATGCTCTGAGACAAACTAAAGTGCTCCAGACAAGCATGTGGAGGGTCCAGGGGTGCTGTTGTCAAACTCAGTGTCCTCATAAATAAAATGGGGCTCTGGGAGCCAGGGATGAAGGGGCCAGGAAGATGGGCCCTGCAGCGGTAGGCGGTGGGCAGCCGGCGGCGGGGAGGCCTGGGAGGAGACGGCCGGGCCTTACTGCCAAGCCCCTGAGCTTCTTCCCCATGCTCTGCCCCTCAACGCTGGGGACCAGGATCAGCCCTCCTTCCCACCCCTGGAGGCCAAACACCACCCCTACCTTGACAAACTTCTCAGAGGGGGCAAAGCAGCCCACGCAGAGAGACACAAGGATCCAGCCCCGGGCATAGCTGCTCTTGGAGGGGTTGTGAGTGAGCTGCTTGCTGATCTGACAGTAGATCTCATCCCTAGGCAGGCGGGACGCAAGGGAGGAGACTGCGTCAGGGGGAAGCCCCACCCCTCCCAGCAGCCTGTGGGAAGCAGGCTCTCCTACCTGCCAGAGACCACAGGGTGGAGGTGTAGCGGGGCCAGGTGGGGGAGGTGAGCCCAGCGCTCTGGGGCCATTGGAGGGGGTCTGGTATTGGAGACAGGCTCATCAGGTGTGAAGCACGCTCCTGACTCCAATCCAGAGCCCACGGCCGGGGCCCCAGGATGCAGAGGGTGGTGCATACCCTGCTCCTGGGCGCGCTGACCACTTTGATAAGAAGCAAAGGCTCCACCCCTGCCTCATCCCTCACCAAGCTGCGTGGCCTGAGCAGGTGAGTTCACTTCTCATGGAAGCAGGAACAATAGAAAAAAAAGCTGGGGAATTTCTCTGGGGAATGGAATGAGTAGGGACTTTGACTTTTGATATATTTCTAGAATGTTTGAATATTTAAGTGGCTGTGTATTACTTCTGTAGCCAGTTTAAAGCAATGAAGGTAATTTTTGGTTTTGCTTGGTTTTCATATTAAAGGGAAATCATAATATCTTCCTAACAGGATCCTAAGAAAAATGAGCCAAGGCTTAATAAAGGACCTAGCACAGTGCCCAGCACAGTAAACCCTCAGCAGAAGCAGCCTGCCTGTTCAGGGCCAAGGGCAGGACCCACCACCATGCAGTGACCACCAGGGGGCACTCACTGCTG